AAAAGATGTGAAATTGAAATAAACGATTTGCGTAGATTCATTTTATAATTACGATACATGTTTGGTTGACCTTTTTTTTCAAACATTATGCCTTATTGAATATTTGATGAAAACTACAGATTTCTCTATATGCAATTTTGCTTCTCTTTGTTGACATACCTTTTTGTTTTTATAATGAGTAGGATTATAACACAATGTTGACTGCTATACCCCTATTTGTTGCATTTTTACTTTGTTTTGTTTTGTTCACACATTGTTGTCAATAATTATTTGACTTTCTTACGAGTAAGAGGTTTAGCTAGCTATAAAACCAGGTTTAATCTACCATTTTCTACATAAGGAGATGCCTGTACAAAGTCGGGAATATGACAGTTGTTTTCCATTCGTTTGATGTGTTTGAGCTTTTGATTTTGCCATTTGATAATTAAGGGACTTTCCGTTTTAAATTTGCCTTTGAGTTCGGTATTTTTGTTATTTTACTTTTATAGTATACCAATGACTTGTAAATGACAAATTAAACTAATAAGTTACAACTGTTTTACTTATCATATGCCAATTTTTATATTGTTACAATGCATATGAATTATCAAAGAAAGTGATGAAGTAAAAATTTAAGAAAAGGCCACTTTGAGGAATGTGAGTTAATATCTATTTTTCTCTACACTATATTTGTGTCAGACTAAGTCGACCCCTGGTGGAGATTTAAACGCTATCAAACACCTAATCTTTAAATATCACCAAGCGGCAAATGAAAGCCACCCTTACGTTGACAAAGGGTATCAAATATGATTTTTGTTTAGTTATGATTGTTTTTATACAGGTTTTACTTAATAAAGTATGTAAGGGCTGACCCTTTGACTACTGCGCAAATGAAACGGTTGAAACTATCAGTCCCGAGGGTATCACCAGCTTAGTAGTCAGTACTTCGGTACTGACATGATTTATATCAAATCTTTCTAAAATTCTCCGTTTATAAATTTTGAAATTATAAAGAACTAAGGTTTCAACTCCCTTCGGCAAAGTTGACCTTAAATGGATTTGGCTATTTTTTTAGGTACTGTTTGGCCATCTTGCTCTTCAACTGTTTCGGTTCTTATACAGCCTCAGCTTTCAAATATTCGACTTTGAACGCTCCTGATGAAGGTAAATCCTGAAAAGCGCTTCGGACGCATGAAATTAATAATGTGTTGTTTTCATTTGTATTTTAGGTCTAAGGTTGCATAAATGTTGTCGAAATGTCGCTATGCTCGTTTTTTACTGAACAAAACAGTAACAGTCCAAATGGGTTAATACAAACCATAAATATTTTTCTTCTTTGAATTGCTTAATATTTTGTAATTGTTTTAGCCTTTTATAACTTACTTTACGATAAGGGTCTAGCGTATTATCGAAATGCTATTATTTAAGAAAAGTTATAATAATAATTATCAAGATGTCTTTGGGTATTTGATGCTTTCCTTTGTAGGATGAAAGCATCAAGTACTGCATCTCTTGATCTTTGCCATAGAAACAAAACAAAATTACCTAGATCATTTGCATGAATCCATCCTACACATGGATGATATTCACCTCTCTGTTGTCCAACTCAAAATTGTCTTGCAGGAACATCATCCCTGAATACTTGCAATACAAACTTGAATGTCATCATTATCAGATGTTATAGGTTCAGATAGTATTTCCAAGTATTCAATTTTTGCTACTATGTATCTAAATTGTTCTAAGTCATTGTTACCTGATTGGCTGAAAATGAACTGATTTAGATTTCCATAAAGGCATTGCATGTTTATTTGTTTATGGTTTTTTATTTCTCTTGCTACTCGTCATGTAAAGTATTAAGCAGGATCATACAGCCATGAAGTGATGCTGTACACTAAAGAATGGTGTAGGATGCTCCTGTGGCTTGCCAACGTTTCTCTTGTTTTGTCATTTCAATACGTTTGAGGTGTTCTATGTTTTCCAGAAAGAGTTCTTATTTGCGGTTTCTGTCCGATCCATATTTTATGAGATTAAATGGTTTAGTCTTAGTCGATTAAGAGGGGATGTGTTACCATATATTGCGATCAAATTCTGTTCCAATGGTCTTTCGCTGATCGTTGTTAAAATTATTCTACTTGTTTCAAATTGTTTTCTCATTAGAAGTTGACAGATGATACCTGTTCCTTTATATCATGCTTCATAGGATATGGCTGGGAGTTGGGAGGGAACAATGTGTTATGTTTACTGTTACAACTTGTTTATCCTTCTAATCCCTGTGGATCATGCCTTGTGGTTTAGAAAATATCAACTGTCAAGGTATTATTTCCTATGCACTTTAAATATTCCTACAGAATTTTATTTAGAATCAAATTGTTATTGATGTTGTTTTTTTCTTTTTTCCGTATTCTCGTTTTCTAAGCTTCTGTTCACTCTTTGCTTGACATTGCCTTTGCTTTCGAAGAAATAGCAAAGGGGCAAACTATGTCATGCTCACGGAATTAACTTGTTAAAGAGAGAAAATTGTAAACATCATAAAAAAAAATATTTATCTTGCATAACTTTAATAAACAATTATGGCCCGTAGAGAAGTTGAATATCCAAAATCGTCAACACGAAAAGGTTATTTCACTGAGGGCGCAGCCCGAAGTGAAATAATCTATTAGAGTTGACAATTTTGGATATGCATTGCTTCTTAAGGGGCCACAATTGTTTTATTATACCGAACTAAAAGTGGGAGGGCCTTTTGAAACATTGAAAAGCACGTAACCTACTGTATCATAACAAACACAAGTAAACGTTCAACAGAAATGTGTGTCTTAGAATTTCTCATATGTAAAACAAAGGTAGAACCTTTTTGTGAAACATTGATGGCCCTGAAAAGGACTGTTTATAAGAGATATCCTCGGCACTAGATGCATTTCCAAAGCCTTGTTTTACTCGTCACTTGATGGGCTTCCTGTAACTTGAAGTTGAATGTTGCCATTTTGTTTACTTACTTCTGTGACGTCATTTTCAAGGGAGATAACTCGTGTACAAATCATGAAACTCTAAAGGTTATATACATTGGTGAATAATAGGGTTATTCAACGCTGGTGTACATTTTTAGGGTTATTCGTCCCTCCCTGCAATTAAATCATAATTAACAGAATTATTCCATGTCACGTGATAACGTGTAACCTAATAGAATTGTTTATAATATATGTAAGGTATAATAATATTTGTTGTTTATAAGTCCTTTGTTGGTGAAAGCAAGATCAAATCTAAAATTGGTTGACAAATTTCATATATAAATGATCCTATTTGTAAAATGCAAATTTCCTGTTTTTCATTTAGTTTATATTCATTTAACTCTTCATGTAGATTACAGTTTTGGCAAGTGACAATTTTGTTGATATTTCACAAAACATGTTTAACTCCGCCGGATTATTGCGCCTGTCCCAAGTTAACCTCTAGCCTTTGTTAGTAATGTGTGTTCCTTTTTTTTATTTTGTTTGTCTGTATGTTTCGGAGTTTAGTGTGGCGTTCATTGTTCTGAAATTGTATACATTATGATTTAGGGGTCAGTCCACCTCCGGTTAGTGGATTTGGTCCATGCGTTGACGACACATAGGTGACCTTGTGCTGTTTTCTGCTCTTTGGTTAGGTTGCTGTATCTTTGACACATTCCATATTGTCATTCTCTATTCTATCATAATCTTGTTATAGCTTAACCTTGATATAATTCATTTGTGATCGTTTGGTTTCGCATAATTCGGATTAACTGAACTATTTTTTTAGAATGTTTATACATTGAAAATCTACTTCTTTTGATATGAATAAAATTAAATCCCTGAACTAAAGACTCGGATAAAACAAAACAAAAGAACAAACAATGTATATACAGCAAGAGAACCACTGACAACATATTTAATGGACTTAATATCCAACAGACAGACCGACAAATATACCGAACACATCTAGAGGGCAAAACATAGTCTTTAACATATATTGAACACTCAATCAAAAGTAGTTTATAAAGAAATAGGGCAGATGTAGCCCTTTGTTTCACACCATGAACATTTTAAAAGTCTTTCAACCTTATTACAATTATGTGTTTCACAAGGGTCACCGGTCCTTTACCTTTCATCTGATACCTTAATCACTAAAATATATACTATCTAGTTATAAATTTACACATATGCGTAGGAACTATTTTGTTTTAAATATGTACTTCTTTCCAGTTTTTCTTTGACCGGGCCCGATTTGGTGGAGTTACATCTTACAAATTCTGTTTCAGTAGTTTTTGCCAAGAATTCCGCTCACGCCGGTTCCTGGGGCTATTTAAAACTTGCAGTGAGTCGAAAGTTTTTTGCTCCGTGTTGAAGGCCTTACAGTGACTTTGAGATGAAGAATAGGAATTAAAAGTGCTGTACCTTTTGGTTTTTTGTGTGTTTTGAAGTGCATGTACTGATTTTGTGTCATGGATGGATACCCCATATTCTTTGTTTTTCTGTTACAATTCACATATCGAAGCTTCTGGTGTTTACTCTATGCATGAGTGGATATTACTGTGTGCTTAGAATAATGAAACATTAAATGAAGGTCTTTTGATAACTCAAACCACAATCTAGATACATTTCAATAATGATGAGTTTTTTGGTTAAAAAGAGAATAAACCAGATGTGCCAAATCTATCTTGTAAGTAAAACGATGTGTTTACCTTCAGAAACAAATACATGCCTTTTGGTATGCACAACAGTTCAAGAAATATCAAATTTGCAATATTCTTGATTGGGTGGACCGGCTGGTCCCTGATACCCACTTCCCTACCCTCTAACTCCCACTTTTCTCTCAATTTACCCCCGATTCCCTCCTCCCCAGCTACTCCCACTTCCCTTTAGCCCCATACTCCCAGACAAAAATTGGTAAAAAATGATCACCAGAATATCCCTATATTTACTCCACCTTTTCCCGCCCTTCATTCTTATATTTTGATTTCCCTGTCCTCCCCTCATTCTTATACAGTCAACAAAAGTAACGATACACAAGTTTGAACTCAAATTTATCATAAAATATAATAAATAGGAAAAACTGTTCAATTAATCAATAAAAAACATTCATCTGCAAAGCAAATGCATATGATTAAAAGAATCTGACCAAATTCGAAAGTGAGAAAATACAGTGTTATTGAACACTGGGATCAACTTTATTTTGCGGAAAATGATGACAAAAGTCGGCACTTAATTTCGAAGATGAGAATTAAGTTTTTCGCCTCATTCACAGAAACAATACAACAATGTGCGATAACATGTTAGTTCTGTCAGTATCGAAAACATTCGAATGTGGTATGAGACCATCGACTGGATTCTCTACTAAAAACGTGGAACCAGTTTTGATAGCACAGAATAACTTAAATCATCTAACTGTACGTGTAGTAACAGTATAGAATAGAATATTATATCGCAAAGGATCAGACGAATTATAGTATTTTGAAATTGGTACCGTTTGCATGTTTATCTGGAAGAAAAATGTATGAACATATTGTTTTGTGAATTATATTAGAAAGAAATGTTATTTCATATATATATATATATATATATATAGTTTTTTAAATCTTGAGTTCTCGGCTGATCTCCAATTTCAATTTAATATTAGCTCATACTTTTTATGAATGTCTCATCTTCTTCAAAATCAAACAAAACAAATCAATAGTTCCTTTCTTGTGAACATTGTTCTGAATTATAGAATTAACAAATTCATATTGTAAACATATGTCCTCAGTCCCTCCAAATAACTCCAAACATAAAACTCGACCTGTCATTTATTGCAATAGTCTCTATTTTTCTTGTTGTTTTGGCGACACACATGAATTCTGAAGAAAACAAATACATTATTTTACTTAACGGTTCATTCAGAAGACTTTCTACATGATAACATTATTTATATATACATAAAGGTGTTACATGTTGTTATCTTTGCATCTTATGGTATTAAAAAATACTCCTTGTGTCTTAGGTACGAATGTCCAATCAGTTGCATTTTAAAACGTTCGATTTTGCATACAATGTAATCAGTTATTTTTCTTTTCTTTTCTGTATTATTAATTCTAAATTATATTGGTTTTCCCAGAAAACACTAAATAACTATGGCAATAAAAAATCTTAACTGCAGACTATATTATTCACTTGCGATTAAAAAAGAGGCCAAAGATACCAAAGGAACTTCAAACTTTAAACATTAAACATTTTCAATACACCTTTGGAACGAGCATTACTCCTTTTTATTTATTACAAATGAATAACACTTGTTTTCCTACTTTGAACACTTTAATAGGACTATATGTTTGATTTATTTTTTCACATTTCCAAGAAACACGATAATTTCGTGAAGCAGCAAATCCTTTTTGACCAATGTGTATTGTAATACCGAATCTAAAAGGTGTGTTTGCATCGAGTTTTTTTTCTCGATTTTTTTTTACGAACATTTCAGTCATATATGAATGAAAGTTTTAGACGTTCTTTTTGAAGTTCAGGAAAGAAATGTGTCAGACTTCCAATTATAATCGGAAGGTTCACGTGAAGTAATTCATTATTCGACTGCATTAAGTGTTAATAGATAAAAATAAATACAACCTAATACTTTAAATATGTAATGCATCTGACTCACTGTTGTGCATTTACCTTAATTAAAAACGCCCTACATTAAAAGATGACAGCTGTTGATTCTTATATTTCTGGAGTTATATGACTGAAAGGTATTTTTAAAACCATCCTAAGTCATCTTTTTTTAAGTTAGGCTTAAAACCAAACTTTTTAAAGCCTAGAATATACAAATTCTAAAAAATGTTTATGACCAAAAGGAACCAACAATGTTAGGGACATTATTCTACATACAGTCATTGTAGTTCGATGGCAAAAAGTAACATACTTGATCTATTTTTTTATAGTCTTTCTTGTAAATATTCTGTCAAAGTTGATGATACTTAGACAAAACAAACACCTCATTGAGCACAGAGACAGGTTCCCACTAATGACAAGATTCAATACACCTTTTTGTTCAATTGTACTCCAATCACCCCCAGTTTTTTGGTTCGTGTTGCTTAGTCTTTAGTTTTCTATGTTCTGTCTTGTGTACTATTATTTGTCTGTTTGTCTTTTTATTTTTTAGCCATGGCGTTGTCAGTTTATTTTCGATCTATGAGTTTGACTGTCCCTCTGGTATCTTTCGCCCCTCTCTCTTCTACCTAATTCTTCCGAAATATGTTGATCATTTGTGAAGTGTACAGCCGTTAAACTCACCTTAAATTCGATTTTTTATATCCGTTTTTAGTTTATCAAAGATGTACTACGCATGTCTTTTTGATACTGCCGGTCTTGTTTAGTTTATAATCGTTTAGTTTCCTTTAAGTAATACATTTCTGATTTACTTGTCACTTGTGTTTATCCCATGAAATACAATCAAATAAAAACATCTAACACAAAGCAACCTCATTGATTTATATAACTGCACTGAAGTTTACAATGGCGAATAATAAAGACACTTTCATTGAAACACCCTTTTTTTTACAATTAATTGTTATGTTCTGTGATGTATGTTAAAAAAAAACAACAAACAACAAACTGATATTCTTTTAAAAGAATTTAAAACTTTAACGACCGTTTCGATTTCAGCATAATTTGCAAATGTCAAGTCTTGTGCGGAAAGTTGGTTTTGTTTGTTTATACAATAGTGTTCCAACATTTTGCATTTGTTCAATCTCGTTCTCTTCAATAGTTTATCAGATAATTGAATATTTTGTGTTTTTTATAGATAAAAAAAAAGTCTGTCCATTAACAACACATACCTGTATTGCCTGCCGGCAAATTGTATGAATAATTCTAAGTTTGTAGCAGAGGATAAGTCTAACATGTTAATGTAAGACTTGCTTGATATGACGTATCGTTTATTGCTCATTCTGTAAAGAGCTGTTCAGATCAAATATTGTTTCCTTATACTTTATTTTTTATTTTTTCCATTGTTCCAGGAACAACTTTCATCTTTTCAACTTACTAAAGCTCAGTTATTAGTGTTTGAGAATTAGATACATCAAAAGTCGTATGATCTAGAGACCTACCGATTACAACTGCTTCCTTAATGTCAGACTTTGATTGAATAATCCCGCTGCATTTGTTTGCACCTGTCCTAAGTCAGGATACTGTTTCAGTGGTTGTCGTTTGTTGATATGGTTCTTAAGTGTTTCTCGTTTCTCGTTTTTTATATAGATTAGACTGTTGGTTTTCCTGTTTGAATTGTTTTACACTAGTCATTTTATAGCTTGCTGTTCGGTGTGAGCCAAGGCTCCGTGTTGAAGGCCGTACTTTGACCTATAAGTGTTTACTTTTTACAAATTGTGACTTGGATGGAGAGTTTCTCATTGGTATTCATACTACATCTTCTTATTTGTATATAGTATGGAACGCTTAGACCCTTGACATATTGTCCGTTTTGAATTCATCTGTGTTAATACTATTTTCTTATACTTCATAGGCCTTCGTGCAGAATTAACAAATTGGTTTGGATAGAAATAATCCTACTCACCATTGCAAGTCAGTATACACACAGCGGTTCAAATAGAATAACTGATTATATATCAAAACACATTATCAATGCTAAAAGAAACTAAGAAAACACTATAATTGAATAGCTTTTTTTGGGGGGTCTTTTGTTGAGTCTTTTATAGACCAAACACGCGTCTGGAGTACAAAAATAAAATCCTGGTATCTAAGATGAGTTTATTGATTGTCAACATGTTCTTTCATGAAACATTAAAACTGTATTAATCATAAGACTACTTTGCATGAATGATAATTTTTTTTAAATTTGTTTATACAAAGAAATGTCACACAACAAACATAGTACTATTAATTAGTGTATTGTTAAGCATGCATAATTCGTATAATTGCAAAGCGATAGTATTAATGCAAAGGAATACAATACAGCAATAACATGTGACCTTTTGTTTTTATTTTTGAACATTCAAATACGAAATTAATGAAGAATTTTGATCTGTTTTGTAGGGGTCTTATAACAACTCAATTTTCAAATAGTTACAGACTTTGCAAGGAGATTTTTCAACCCGAAATAGGTTAACAGATGTATTGATATTCATTTGTATAAGGTCGATTTCTATCCGACGCAGCTCATGTTTTAGTAATGATAACGTATCACACTTAATTCAAGGAGTACATCAGCTGTTTTTATAATACGATTTATCCTGTACGACTGTCGTATTATAACATATTTATACACGGTATTAATTATTCTACTGAACATTTGCTCATGCGCAGACAGTGATAAATATTCGAGTGTTGCTCGTTAGATGCAGTACCTGTTTATAGAACATCACACTGGCTAAGTTCAAAATGTAGTATAAAAAACGAAGATTGTGTTACGTAATAACGTAACGCTTTTGATAGTGTAACATGCAATTTCTAGAGATACTGGTAACTAGCCCATTTTAATAAACAATTGTTACGAGTTTCAACAATTATGTTCATACCAAGATTCTTCATACATGTTGTCAACACATTGTTGTCAATATAACAAAATTCTATACGATTGTCATACAATTTAGAGGGTTAATTAGCTATACAACCAAGTTTTATCCACCATTTTCTGCATAAGGAAATGCCTGTATGAAACCAGAAATAAAACAATTGTTTTCTATTCGTTTGATGTGTTTAAGCTTTAGATTTCACAATTTGATAAGGGACTTTCCGTTTTGAATTTTCCCTGGAGATCGGTATTTTTGTTATGTTACTTTGTAAGTATTTAGTAAAAAACAATTTGCATGGATGAAAACAGCGATCAGTTAAGCTAGCAAGTACACATATTTACATAATTGAGAAAAAGTAAATAAAGAATGTGAAAACATAATTGTGTTAAATAATACATTTCCTGTCGAATATCAAACCAAATGAACATAATCACTGCTAACTGTAAGATTAATGCTAAAACACATTGATGAATCATTACAATAAGAAATATAAAACGTAATCTACTTCAATGAGATACTCCATCGTCGTTTGTCTAAAATTAATGATATTACTAAATGCAGTGAATCATCTTAATTTATTCAATTGTTAATCAATTTAAAATTAAGAAGTATAAACCTGTTTTAAATTTCTATTTTTAACAAAATTTAGATTTATCACTTAAAAATACTTTTCATAAATCCTTTTAAAAACAATTAGAATATCGAATATATTAAGTATACGTACGTATTTCATGGTATTCATCATGAATAAATACACTATATATTATTCCTGTATTATTGCAAATGACATGCGCTGATACTCCTGGTGTCACATTAAGTAAAGAATTACCATTTGCACAGTACACGTTGCCTCGGTACACATGGATATCTTGGTTTTTATTGTTTGTATTTGTGTTTAAAACCGTTATGACACTACTTCCATTTAATGTTGATGATTTCAAGAATCCATTATTGAATTCCATCCAATAAAGGCGATCTTTATCATTATCTAATGAAGAAAAAAAAAATTCGGCCGATTACATGAATGTGACATCGATTTGAAAACAATCTTATTGTACCCAACATAGTATACTTTGATTTATATGAATACATTCAAACAGACTGTGTTTCCTATTCCTTGTCCGGTTAATCCAAGGCACTGATATTCAATGAATATGTCTTCAGATGATCATATTAAAATAGGCGTTAGATACCAAAAGGGAAAATATTTTTTTAAGTCATAAAAAGTCAACAACACCATGCCAAAAAAACAAAAATAACACACATATCTGCAGGAACATTAATATACAAAACGATACCTGGAAAAGTGAAGACTGAAAACACGAATATAACAATCAACCATGTGTTTTCTTAGATGTTGCGGAAATGAAAGCAGTGGTTGTATTCAGATAACGACATTCTACAATCTATTTTTAAACTTAAAAGTGAATGGTGATAGAACATGTTTGAATGACACAAGTATTAAAAAAAAAACATCAAAGATGACATGCTTTTTGACAAAGACGCATGCTTCTAAATAAATCCCGTCCAATGTTTTACCAGTCCAATTATCCGGTAATCAAATTAACTGCTTTTACATAATTTGATTGCATTTATTTGAAGTATTGAAACATATGTATCAATGTGTTTATTACAAAACAAGGTGACAATCATCTTGCTTTTTACAAGGGGTTGTTTATTTGTGTGTGTCTTACACCTGACAAGTACACATAATTCGTATAAATATTACAAGATAGTTGATTATCAAAAGCATAGTAAAGTATAAATAAACATATATTTTGTGTACATGGGCAGTTGGTTGCGTGAAATATTAAAGTACAATCAGTTCTATTTCTACAGAAACCGTAAAAACATTAGTTATCAAGTTGCAAGGGATCATCCTTATTTTGTAATGTATGGTTAAAATGATTATGTGACAAATCATATCGCATTTCCGTTGTTAGTGTTATTATTTTTAGACAACATACCAATGCTCATACCAGTAACTAGTTCTGATTGAACATTTATGATTGTTTGATTTTCAGAACTGTTAAGTTTCAATCGCCTAATTGATTTTTCTGTACCATCCGTACTGTAATACAGCCATCTGAAATTTAAATAAATAAAACGATGATGGCCTGAAGAAAAACAGTAAATATATGTGTAGCATTTCTGACATAGGAAAGAACGACTGGACTCGATACTTCAAGGGTTTTACCGTCACCAACACCAATTTGTTGAGTAACACAATATGTCGTGACTCTAGGTTTTACAGTCTTAGATCCTAAAATACAATTATAATCGTCTCACCGAATCCCGATTAGATATGTTGACTGAGTGTGGATTCGAATGGCAGGCTGAGCATGCCTAGCAAGAGACGTATTTCCTGTCGATACACAAAGTCTCGGTCTTTTAGGAATTCATGAGATTCCCTCAGTTTTTTTACGCTACCTTGATTTGTTTTGTTAGACGATTGATTCGATTTGAAACTACCGTTATCTTAAGCTATACACTGCCTACATTAGACATGACAGGTAATTTCTTCAATTATAGGGTTTCGTTCAATATTATCCGATATGACAAAGAACATTATGAATAGATAGTAGCTATACAAATATAGGGAAATAGTACGATAGGGACATTATATGTCGCGAAAAAGGCGGTTCGAAGAATGCTTGTTGATATCAAAGGGGATATTGCGACTCAGTATATCTATCTGTCTGCAATTGGAAAATGATAAAAGAGTAACACAACGGATAATTTTGCATTGATACAAAAAAATGCTCTTTTGTAACACTATTATTGTAAATAGAAATAAGAAGATTTGGTATGAGTGCCAATGAGACAACTCTCCATCCAAGTCACGATGTGTAAAAAGTAAATAATTATAGGTCAAAGTACGGCCTTTAACACGGAGCCTAAGCTCACACCGAACAGAAAGCTATAAAGGGGCCCGAAATGACTATTGTAAAATATTCATACAGGAAAACCAACGGTCTAATCTATATAAAAAACGAAGTTGATATGTTATTTGATATCTATTTCAGTTTAACGTGTTTTTGTAATTTTCTAATACAAACCTGTTCCGATAATCAAATGTGAGAGCAAAGAGTGGATCATCCTGCAATATAACTGATTTTAGTGACCCATCTAAATTACATCTACAAAGTTTCCCGGTGGATCGTTCTGTCCAATACACATGGTTATATAAAATGTCAATCACCAATCCTACTGGTCTGCTTGCAAAAGTAACAGGTACTAAATCCGCCATTTGTCCTGGTGGATATCGAAATCTTAAAGAACCAAAAATTATAAACAAATGTGTAAACTATAACGATATATAATTGCATTCTTGTATAAAAATTTAACTTCACAAGCTATGCAAATATTTAAAAAGAAATGGTTATGCTTCACTTCTAGAATGCAAGTGTGTATGCCGTGTAACCATCAAAGCAAGAATAGTACTTACCTTAAACATGTAATATGATATTCCGTAATGTTACATTATGCAATTAATGAGTGATACTAGTCTAACTATGGTAGGTAATGAATATCTCCACTTTTGAAAACCGTTTAACACTTGCAGTTTTCCAACTTAATTTGTTTAAGACACATTTTGAGCATGTATGGCATTATAGAATATGCCAACCTTCCACATAGTACTGTGTTGTTAAAGCTAGTATGGTTAAAATTAGTTTCAATGGTATTCAAAATATTGTCTGATTATAGTTGAAAGTAACTAAAAAATGGTCATCAACCTCTTCATACCTTTGTATATCATTTTTTGTATATCTTGAAAAATATATATATCCATTTCTATAATCATAGTCTACAGAATAGATAAAGCTATGAAGGTCAGTCTGAAGTTCCAATTCTTCTCCATTTTGCAAGTTAAGTTCTTTGATAGTACCATAAGTCGAAATGATAAGCTTATTTTGAAAACCTGAAATTGAAATTCAACAAATATCCACTGTTAATTTTACAACTTGTCAATAGTTTGTTGCAACATAAAGTCAAAAATACTCATTCCCAACTGCTATCTATGCATTAGTTATCATTTAAATCAAAGGCATTTGGCCCATACTCTTATATTATTACATAATAAAATAGTGATCAGAATTACAAGAGAAAACAAGAAAAACGAATGAAATCGTTATAAATGTAACAACGTATTGCGTATCTTTTTTTACACTAGACGCAGACTAATTTATCATATAACAGAATATTTGAGGATTGCTGATAGTAATTTGTCCCTGACCAAGATTTATATATACATAATAATTATATAAAATAACTGGTGCTGTTAAAAATTATGTTCATTACTTACCTTGAAATCTTAAGCAGAGGCAAATAATCAATTCAGAGATGGTCAACACATCTTTTAACATCTTGTTGAAATCTACAGAGCATTGAAAAGCTATTAATAGTATTATCTATTTTTATTTTTAAATTACAGATCTATTGTTGTTGTTTTTGTTGTCTGTACATGTCGTTTAATGTTCACGTATTATTTTGTGAGAAGTTTCTCAGTTTAATCGAATCATTTAATAAAAGTCTCATCAACTGACTGTGTTTGTATTGGTCCTTTAAAAGATTCTCGCTCAGCTGTATTAGCCCTCGATTCTTCGTGTGCTGGGGCCTATACAGCTTACCTGGAATCTATAATAGGACCAATACAAAAACAGCCAGTTAATGACACTATATTATATATATATATATATATATATATACATATGCGTGATAAATAAACAACCAACAGTATGTTGTGTTGTTAAATAAAACTTTACGTAAATTAGTACACAACAAAATTTGAAAGCAATCATATAACATTGTTCTGTTGATACTAAACAATATGACTAATACTTCTAAAATAATGAGTAACACATCGATATTTATTTGCACAATAACCGATCTAGGATGATTGCAACGTTTGTCATATGTTTTTTTGATCCTCTACATTGATTACTGTCCTTGAAAGAGATAAACTTCCTCCTTGCACAATACACCATTCACTATAGCAGTATGCACCATGCACCTTTACAAATAACAATTACTTCATACACTATACGTCAGGCAAACATAATCTTAGTCTTTCAAATGGTTTGGTTTAAGCGTTTCTGATGAAGGTTTATCCAAAAATGCGCTTTCGGAATTGATAAAGTATCATATCCATTTACGCAGTACACAATGCACGATTACATCAGACACCATTCTCATTATATCATACAAGACCGTACATTATCCCTTCATTTCCCCCTTTAGAATTTGAATCATAAATGATGCACATCATTGAAAATTATTTACAAGGTAAAATATTCAAGGGAATTGCAATATAACCGCACCAATACAAAAAACAGCCAGTTAATGACACTATATTATATATGTGCATGATCAATAAACAACAAGGAGTGTGTTGTGTTGTTGAATAAAAATACACATTAATTAGTACACAACACAATTTGAAAGCGATCATATCACGTTGTTCTGTTGATATTGATACTTCTAAAATAAAGATTAACACATCGATATTTATTTTGCACAATAACCGAACTAGGATGATTACAAAATTGGTCATATCTTTTATGTTCCTCTTCATTGATTACTGTCCTTGAAAGAGATAAACTTCCTCTTTGCACAATTCACAATTCACTATAAGAGTATGCACCATGCACCTTTACAAATATCAATTATATCTTGCACCATACGTCAGGCAAAATTAATCTCAGTTGAACTTTTGGTCATATAGCTCTTAATGTTCCTCTTTATTTATACATTCATGGCTTTCAACTGTTGTGGTTTAAGCGTTTCTGATGAAGTACATCCATAAATGCGCCTCTAGAATTTCAAAAATGTTATTTTCATTAACACAGTACACCATGCATCATTACATCATTAATATCAAAATAACATAAAAAAGTTCCGTGTTTTGTAACGATTTAAAATCGAAATTTTCCACAGCCTTTTCGATTGTTACCCCTCTTTCGCATTTCCTTTGATCAATCATCGAAACGCAGATAATAACAGAGTGAGAAAGCTACTTCATATTTGCTAGATAACTTAATTTGATTAAGCAGAGGTTAAGTAGTTGGACAAGACATCAGATATTAAATCAATATTGACAAAGATGCATCGTTACTGCGATTGTTGATTAAAACTACACGAACATAAGCACACAACACAATTTGAACATTTCGATATTTCTTTGCACCATAACCGAATAAGGATGATTGCCATATGCATTATGTGCCTCTTCATTGATAATTGTCATTGAATGAAATGAACATCCGCTAACACCATGCACCATTCCCTTTATCCTCATATACCTTCAAAAATAGCAATTACATCATGTCCCATAGATCAGGCAAAATTGATCTGAGTTTGCATTTTGGTTTTATAGCTCCTATTATTTAGGTTTGAGCGTTTCTGATGAAGAAAGGCGCTTCCGGAATTTATAAAATGGTATTTCCATTTTGCACAGTACATCATGCACCTTTACACCATATCATTCTAAATACAACTTACAAGCCCTTATACTATATCCCTTACATAAGAAAATGGACAGTTGTTTTCCACTCGTTTGAAGTGTTTCAGCTTTTGATTTTGCCAATTGTAAAGTGATTTTCCGTTTCGAATTTTCCTTGGAGTTCGGTATTTTTGTTGTTTTACTTTTCACTTTCCCCTCTAAAATGTGAATCATACATGATTGACACCTTTCAAAATTATCCGCTGAAATGTTTAAAGAAATTGGAAATGTTTATACATCTTTTATTAGACGAACTGAAATATATACACCATACAACAGTCCTCATTTGCCTTACACAATACATCATACACTATTACGCCAAACACCATTACATGCACGTTTTATTTGAAAGTTTACACCCGTCCAGAATTGGATGGCTGTTTGCTTATGTGTTTACTGTAATATTTTTCGATGCCATCACCGTTTATTCTACATTACCCTAAAACGTAAGCATGAATTCGTGTGTACCGTTCTAATCATAAACGGATTTTATTTTTGGCTATTCTAATCTCATTTTTTCGGTTAAATCGACATAAAACAGGACAGGGACTGTTCATCAAACAAAATGTTATGTGTACTTGTTTTGTATGAAAGCGAGCTCTGCATGATTTGATCACTATTCCATTCTAAACGTGTGTGACAATAACTGTCAATTTCTTGAGTGTATTTAAATGACATAGTAAGAATTTAGTTATCATAATCAGCTTAATGTTAAAATGATTATAGATATTATATATTTATAACTTACCAGATTTCCTTATGAATAGATTTGTCGTTTGCAGTTTGCATAATTAAACTGAGAAAATGTAAATCAAAACATACCTGTTCCTCTCGTTAAATCAAGAGTACAAATGACACAGACAATAGGTTATAATATGGATAACCTACAGTACTTTTAAATGAACGTCTATGAATGTAATACAAACATATAGTAGGCTGTCATTCATAACTTGCTCTTGATCTTCCTTTTTGATTAGGCCTTTTAACCATGTTTAATTCGAGCGTCATTGATCAGTCTTTTGTAGACGAAACGAACGTCTGGTTTACAAAATAATAGGCTGGTATCTTTGAAGAGTTTTTTTTTCTTTAATTTAGTAAAACTTATGACGACTACCGTAATAAATAAAAACAAAAAAACAACTGAATAAAAGTATAAATCGAAATATACCATTATAGTGGATGACCTTTAGTGAAATGAGAAAAATAGTATTTGTCAGGGAGACGGCAATCTAAAAAATAAAATAAAAAAATACCGAACTCCAAGGAAAATTCAAAACGGAAATTCCCTTATCAAATTGTAAACTCAAAAGCTCAAACACATCAAACGAATGTAAAACAACTGTCATATTCCTTATGTAGAAAATGGTTGATTAAATATAGTTTATAGCTGGCTAAACCTCTCACATGTATGACAGTAGCTTAAAATTCCGTTATATTGACAACAATGTGTGAGCAAAACAAACAGATATAACAGGTAAAAATGTCAAACATTTGGGTCCAGCAGGCAACATTGTGATATAATCTTAATCTCTAAAAAAAATAACAATTATGTCAACAAAGCAAAACAAAATATCATATAGAAAAAGCACATTAACAGTACCACAAAATAGTTCCTTAGATATAAAACAAATGTTTCTTCATTTTGTTGCTTCGTCCCTTAGGTGAACATATGTATGATATACGAGAGAATTGTAAATGCACAAGTAAACTAACGGAATATGTTTATATCGATAAATTATAAAAACGTGTACATTTTTTCAATCGTTTTGATATTATGTTAATTTATTAATCCAAACCATGCAAACATTGAATGAAAACGTTTGATTATTTTAGTCGGAAATATTAGTTGTGATTTTTTAACGTCTTTTACAAGTTATGCATATGCGAAGGAAATGTTGTATTATCAAACATCAATTTACTGATAGGTTTTAATAAACAAGATATATTGATTGTCGGGGATAGATATTGGGTTAAAACTGGCAATTCCTTAATATTCGACAGAGGAAAGTCATATGAAAATTCCGTTGATAAACATGAATAGCTGTTCTTTTAAACAAATAAGCACATACATTAAAAAAAAATTGGCTGGTGATGAAACATTCACTTAAAGAAAACGCTCGATATCATGTGTACATAAATTTGTAAATTGGCAACTACTTTTTCGTTAAATTTTCACAAAGTAAAATGTTTAGACTATAATGAACAAAACATTGATACCGTGACGAAGAATGATCGAGGTCACATTTCAAACAAATGGATGACAATAATTATCATAAACAAAAAGCAATTACACATTTCCATATCTTTGCAATCCTGATAGAGCGTATGTAAATTATATTAAGTGTAAAGATATTGCGGTTCATAGACGATGGATGTTTATTGAATGGTAACATATTAATAAATACGACTAATTTAA